TTATATTCACTTTGGGCAAGAAAAGCAGAAGGAGGTGCTGTCTTTGTGTTAGTTGATTTACAGAAGCACCCACACTTATACTATACCCCACATATTCATCCAGCTATTAACCCCACCAACCTGTGTTTCTATTTTCTTAAAAGTTCTGAAATGTAATCTCACAGGTTTTATAGAGTCCCTCCTTCTCTTTAGATGTATCCAAGCAAACCAAAGAAAACAATATTACTTTAAAGTTTCATGCACTAGCTAGAAAAATATATTCATAATTAGGATCCCCAATTTATAGTCAGATGTAAATCCCCAGTTATATCTTAATTAAAATCCAAATGAGGGCTTTGAGATAGCCATTTAAACTTGTGTAACTGTTTCAGTTTGGGGTAATTGCCCATATGCCAATGAATATTACTATTGCTTACAAGATGCCACAATGTATCTTGGGTCTCAGGGCATGATGGAAAGAGAGCCAGATTGGGAGTGAGAGAATCCCTGCTCAAATTCTGACTGCCTTTGACACTACTCTTGGGACTTTGCCTCAGTTTTCCTCATCTATAAAATGAGAGGTTTGGACTAGATGACTTCTAAGGCTCCTTCTAGTGCCCAAGCTATAGTCCTAAGATCTTTCCATAACCATAAGCACTATTCTCAATACATGCGCCTCCATGGTCATGTTTCTAGTTCCAAAACGGGGTGATTCATCTTGCATACAAAGGCCTGATTTGTCCATCACTAAATTACTAGACAATCAGAGATTTGGTATAAATCTCCTTGTATTTTTCTATTATTTTCTAGTCTTTAAAATAATTCTGAGTTTGGGTTGTGGTTCTTAGAGAATTCAGCCTGGCTCTAAAGGAGGCCTTCTATTTATGCAAGGTTTTCTGGGGTAGAAAGAAAGAGAGAAAATGATTAGAAACTTTTTACACTCCAGGAGGTAATGAGATTAGCTGAATATAGAGTCCTGCTGTGTCAGAACTAGTCTAGAAGCAAAGAACAGCTTAGTGGGGCCTAGGAAATTTCAGGGCACAGTAAATCTACAGTCATCTTTATGCATACTAGAAGTTTTTTTAAAAATAATTAAGATGGACTTTTACTAAAATAACCAGAGGCTTGAGGGACCATCCCAAAGACAAACTATGAGTTCAATAAATGTCAAGGATTATTCATTTTAATTCTCCTTGCAACATAGAAGACCCCACCTTCCGGAAAGGCAACTGTGAACTTTGGAAGGTGAGAACATATTCTAGTCTCCCTCCTTCTCTTTCTTCTTGTGCCTCCCTCTTGGTCACTTTACCATTCATTAGCACTTCCAACGGAGGAAGGAGAAGGAAGAGCCGAGGAGGTGGAATCCAGCAGTCTCCTTTGCTGTACTTGTTAACAGATGTGGCAAAAGGGTTAGCAGAATTGGAAACTAATGGCTAAAATTAGCTTTAAAAAAATTACCCCTGTGCCTTAGCTCTCTGTGTTATTCCCACCATCATCACAGCCAATTAGGAGTTGGCCACATACACTACATATGGTGTCAGATCTCTCTATGGCACCATTTTCTCTCTTGGATCTGGGTTTCTGCTTCCAAGGAATGTAGGGGCTATGGAGTTGGTTAATATCCATGAGCTGAATGAGTATTCAATGCAGTGGGAGTCAATGTTAGGGGGGTTCTCAAATGTAGAAAGTGTGGTCTTGGCAAGTGCTTCACCATCCATGGGGTTCATTTACCTCATGTCTATAGTGGGTAGGTAGAAGTAAAGGATCCTTGATGTTTTCAGAGCCCTCTACATGTTTATTGACTATTATAATATTCAGGGTCAGGCACAGAACAGTGGACAGGGAAATGGCTCAGAGTTAAGAAGACCTGGGCACATATCCTGCCTCTGACACTTAATATCTTTGTGGCATTGTCCAAGTTATTTCATCTCTCTGTGCCTCAGTTTCCTCATCTACAAAATAAGGGGATTGGACTACATGGCTCACAAGGTCCCTTCCAGCATTAAATCTATGATACCACAATCCTAAGACATAAGACTAGAAAATAGTGGGGGAGTCATCCTGCAAAGGGGGATCAAATTTCCTAAAGCTGTACTGGAATTTCCCAGCAGGCTTCCCCTGGATTTCTCTAGTTCTTGCTTCCTCCTGAGAAAGCTGAGATTGCCTTAGCTGACATTTAAATAACACCGGACATTTAAATAATGCCAGACATTTGGAGTCAAGTAAATGGAACTATGAGACAGTAACTCTCTTTTGGTTCTCACAACAACAACATGCAATACTTACTATAAGAATACCCACTTTATAGATGAAAAACCTGAAGCTCCAACATGTCCAATGAGTTGTACATGGTCAATGAAATCTTTATTTCATCTTAGAGATAATGCAGAGGCCTAGAAGCTCCTTGAGCAGTAAAGTGATATGGGCAGACCTGTGTTTTAGGAATATCAACTTGATTGGGGAAGGAAGAAATCCCAGCAGAAGAGGAGATGATTTCATGGGCTAGGGTCTTTGTGTGGTGATGGCAACAATTGCCAGGATTCAGAGGATTACAGATTTAGGGCCAGAAGGGATCTGAGAGGCCACCACCCCATCTCATTTTCAGAGGAAGGCTCTGAGACTCTAGGAGGTCGATGACTTGCCTAAGATCACTTAACCACCTCCATAGTCTGTGCACTTTCCACTGTGCCACATGTTACCTTTCTCTTCACCATTAGGCAAGTATCTACTTGTCACCTGAAAGTTATCCAATAGGGAAAATTATTTGTTGAATTACGCTGGATGAAGGAGTTGAAGAAAGATGTCAATACTGTCTTCTTGGTCAATCAAGTAGTGGTGAATTCATGAGAAAAGGAAAGACAATGGGAAGCCAAAAGAAAGTCCTAAGGAAGAATATTTGTTGACTATCTATCTATCTATCTATCTATCTATCTATCTATCTATCTATCTATCTATCTGTCCGTCCGTCTGTCTGTCTGTCTATCTGTCTGTCTGTCTGTCTATCTATCTATCTATCTATCTATCTGTCTATCATCTATCTGTCTATCTATCTATCTATCTATCTATCTGTCTGTCTGTCTGTCTGTCTATCTATCTATCTATCTATCTGTCTATCATCTATCTGTCTATCTATCTATCTATCAATCTATCTATCTATCTATCTGTCTATCATCTATCTGTCTATCTATCTATCTATCTACTTATTTATATATTTACTCTTTCATTGATCTAGCCATTCATTCATTCACTTATTCATTCATTCGTTTATAGCAGTGCTTTTTAGTGCTCGTAGAATGGAGAGGGGAGAGAATCAGACTATTGACCTTTCACGGTCAGGCTGGAGAGCTACTTTTGGAAAGTTCAGGAAACAGAGCAACAAATGCAGGCCAAGCAGCCTGGTAATGCATTTCCTGCAGGGTTCAATTACTCCTCTATGTAGATCATAGAACCGAACACCCGGCTGTCCTTGTTGGAGGGCAGGATGCTCCATAGATTTTTATTTTCACAAAAATAGGCTCCAGAGGTTTTTGGCCTTATAGACAGCAGCTGGTAGCAGGCAATGCAATGGCCTGGGGGGCTGAGCCGCTGCTGATGGGGAAAGCAGGATGGGTTTGCATGGGAGTCCCAGACTGCCAGGATAGCATAAGCCACAGGTTTTAGTATCTCTGCTACAAACAGACACTATTCCCTCCCCTCAAAATACAATCTGGAATACTGTGTGTGTGCTGGGGGTGTGTGTGCGTGTGTGGGGGGAATCATCAGCTCCTACAACTTCATTGTCTCTTAGAGTGGGACACGGATGGGGGTTGGGGGACTGAAGGATAGCAAGGGCGCAGGGCGAGCAGCTGAGGGGAATAAGGTTGGTGGCTTCTTATACTCCTGGTGACTAGGAGCATTGAGGGGGAGGCCAGATAAGATGAAGAGAGATCATCCCATTTTCAGCAAGTAACAGGATTTGGAGCTGATGGGGAAGAAGGGAGGCTGTCAGCCAGTACTATGTCAGACGGCTGAGATAATTCAGCGGGGGGTTTCAGTCTGAGCTACCTTTCGGTTCGTCCCTCAGATACACATCAATCCCTCTCCTCGCCTTTAACTTGCAAGGCTGCCCTGATGGACTTCCTAGGTACCCCGAGTGTAGAGATAACGCAGGGAAGGCCAGTGAGGGGGAAGTTGTTTCTTTCATCCCAGACTCTGGCCGATGGGCCAGCTGTTCTCTTCTTCTCAGGGAGAAAGGTGTCTGGAGAGAAAGGGAGGACTGCAGGGAGTGGGGGTGGTAGTGAGGATGAGAAGGAAAGTGGTCGGGGACAGGCCCCTCCCTCCTCACGTTCTGCCTTCTGGCTAGTTGGCCGTCTAGACTTTGACACCCCTCTCTCCTACCCCCTCCATGGTGGTGGAAAAGGAGAAGTGGGGAGAGCAGAGCTCGCGGAGGGGAGGGAGGGATGCAAGGAGAGAAGAGAGTGGGCGGAGGGGGGCTGACTCAGGCCAGCGCCCAGCCCCTGGTTGGCTCAGTCTGTCTCTTTAAACGCTCCGGAGGGGCTGCTCCGAGCGTGTGAGTTTCCATGGAGTCGAGAGCAGGCGGGGCTGCCGGAGCCGCTGCTCGGTGATCTATCGGCTCCAGTCGCTCCCGGCAGAGGCGCGGAGATTGGAGAGAGGAGAACAGAGCTCAGGGACCGCGGAAAGCGGGCAGGCGACCCAGCGGGCGGCGGCCGGGACGGCTTTGACGGCTGCTTCCCTCCTTTCTCCTTGCCTCCTCTCCTTCCTTCCATCGCTCTGTCTGCCCACCCCTCTTCACCCCCTGCCACTCACTCTTCTTTCCTGGCCGGTGCCAGCCGCCCCCGCGAGCGTCTCTTTGCTCTACCCCAGGCACTGGGCACGGGGCACCTAGAAACCCCTCCACACGCCAGCCAAGTTCTACCTGATAGCCGGACCAGCCCAACTTGCCGGGCTTCCAGCCTCGCTCCCACTCCTCCCGGGGCCGCCCTCTGGCAGCAGCCAAGATGACCCCGTGGCGCCTCGGCCTTTGGTGCGTCTGCTGCTGGCTGACTGCACTCTGGCCGCTGCGCTCCTGCCTGCAGCTGCGGAAGGGCATGTAAGTCAGGGTGCCGGGCAAAGTGTCGCGGCACGCACCCCCACCCCACCCAGTCCCTCCATCTGGAACTCCTGGGGCCAGAATCCCAAGTGTACTAGGCGCTCAAGCAAGCCCACAGAGAAGGGGAGTGAGCTCCTGTGTCCTCGGGGTCCCTGCACAAGCAGCTTGGGCTACCCCATCCCTTAGTAGTCCGAGCGCGCGTGCCCAGCTGCTGGAACTCCCGCAATCCACAAGGGCTGCGGGGCTGCGGGAGGGAACTTTGGCTGGAGGACCCCGGGAAGGGGTTGGGGAGAGAGCAGGGAAAGAGCCAGCGCCCCTCAGAGACTCGGGGGTAGGTAGGCTGGCTGTTTTCTGAGCAGACAGGTGCAGCTCCAGCAACGCTCGCACCTTGGGAGTGTCCGCTTTTGAGAGCCTGATGGCCAGTGAGGAGGGGGAGGGGAAGGGAGAGACAACCTGAAGACCTGGCTTTGTCCGCCACCCTTCCGAGCAGTGAGCTCCTTGACTTTCACCTCAGCCTCGGAAGCGAACGGGTTCCATTCTTTAATCTCCAAGAGCAAGTTTTCATCCACGGAGATGCTGCCTTGGAGGAGATAGAAATCTCAGAGCATCTTGAGAGCGGAGGCAGGTGGGATGCCACAGGTCCGATAGGCTGGGGAGGGGGGTCCCTGGCGGGCCAGGCTTGTCTGAGGCCGTCCTGTAATAAGCCCAGGAGGAGCGAAGGACCCAGTGCACTGCCCGGGAATGTCGTACTCGTCAGGCACTACGTGACGGTTTAGGGGACAGAGCATAGCCCGGGAAGGGCTACCCGTTGAAATGCATCAGCCTAGAAATGGAAGAGGTTTCATTTCCTGATAAGAAGTGATGGATCTTGCAACATATTAATTCCAGGTCAGGATGTGTCAAGTGGAGCTGGAAGCTAATGGGGAGTGGAAGTATTTACAAATGACTAGGTCTCATCTAATGGCCATAGAAGGAAGTGTGTGTGTGTGTGTGTGTGTGTGTGTGTGTGTGTGTGTGCTTCTGTGTTTCTCCCATAACTTGAGAGCATCAGAAATCTCAGAGCAAAGCTTAGGCAGGAAATTGTGCTCCTGCTTAGGCAGGAGTCTTGCGATGTTGTTTCTTCTCTTGGACTTTGTCAGTCCGCACTGTGATTATGCAAATAACTTTGCTGGTAGTTTCTGAAATGCTGGTTTTCTGAACTGAGGATCAGTGTGTGTGTGTGTGTGTGTGTGTGTGTGAGAGAGAGAGAGAGAGAGAGAGAGAGAGAGAGAGAGAGAGAGAGAGAGAGAGAGAATCACTTGCTCATTCTCTGGGCTTTGTAAAGAAACAGGATTTTTTTTCCCCCTCTTAGTTCACTTTACATTTCCATATTTCATCCCTCTCATGAGAGATTCCATTTGTTACCTGGTTACTGCAATTGTCACCCATGATCAATCTCCCTAGACATGGGCAGAATGCCGGTGGCATCTCCAAACAACTTTCTCCCAGAATAGTTTGTAAATACACATTCCCCTGAGATGGCCAGGAAGGAATTTCTGTATGTGTAACTCCTCTCCAATTGATAAGGCTTGTCTTGTTCATTTTGTGGAGACTGTTGCTTTAGATTTTTTCTCCGTTTATCTCAGAAAACATGTCTCCCTCTGTACACCCTCCGCATGAATGAGCTTTCACTTCTCAACTACCTGATTGTAAAAGGCAGCGGCAAGGTGCTGGGGAATGGGCCCGTTACCTTGGCAGGTGCTGCTATTGGAGCTGAGTCAGAATTCACTTATTCATTCCTCCCCGAGCTAAATACGGGCTCTGAGTCAGAATTGCCAGAGGGTTTCTTAACAAAGGATGCAGGCTGGGGAAGTGAGAGGAGGCTGCAGCAATGTCCTCATCTCTTTATCCAGGACTTACCTGTGTTTCCTGAACTTTCAGCGTCAGCGGTGTTTCTGAAAGGGCTGGAGGGATGACATGGCTTTTTTGAAGAGACTTGGCAGAAATATTACCTCGGTAGGATTGAAGGCAGGAGGGCTCTGTTCCTGCAGCTCATTATTAAGTAAGTGAGAAGGGCGGAGGGACTAAAACCCGAGAACCAGCGGGGTGGTTAATAGAGCTACTATTTTTCTGATACTTACAGGGGCTGCAAGAGTGAGAAACAATGTTAAGCATCCATCCCTCTATTTCTCAGGACTTACTGTAGTTATTCGCCAGGGACTGGGGTGGGATTTTGCTCCCTGTAGTCTGTGTCTGTTCCTGCTCCTTGCTTTTGCGGGAAGGTTAAAGAAAGCAACCAAGTGCATCTGTCCATCTTTTAAATTAAAATGAATCCTTTCCGAGTTTTTTTTTTTATTGACCTCTGAGGTCCATTATCAGTGAGAGAAGGACTGCTAATGAGGTGAGGACCACTAATGAGAAGGCATCATCTCACTGACTGGCACTCTTACAGATCATTAATAAAAGTAAAAGTTTCATGTAGCTGACTGGGCTTGTGCTGAAAAGATTGTTGAAGATGTTGCAACTGATTCAAGCAAATTAAAGTTAGGCTTTCAATGCATGGCAATATTTAATTTTGGTGGCCAATCTGTGTTCTGGGATCTGCTATAGGTCCCTCTAAATGGAAAATTTTACGGGAAGGAAGAGTTTTTGAGAGGGAGTGCAGTTCTTAGGTAGCGAGCTGTCCTTGGGGTTAGGAAGAACTGGGTTCAAATTCTTATACACTTACTAGCTGAAAGTCACTTAAGCACCTGTATAAAATAGAAATGATAGGAAAAGTAGAAATTTACGTATAGGATTTTTGTGATGTCTAAATGAACTAATGTGTGAACGGTGTTTTGGAAACTTGAAATCATTGTGCAGATTTTAGTTATTGTGAATAATCAAATTAGGAGAAGGGAAAAAGAGCTCTCCTCTGGAACTTTAGACCTGGAAAGATGACACATGAAACTGGGGCATCGTGATTAAAAGAGGGAAAATTGCAGTTCATTGGAATTAAAGTGTGATGATAACATAGGTGATTGTTGTTCTTTAAGCAACAGGCTTTGATATTAAGATAGAGAAAAGCAGTTCCAGGGAGAAGGAGATCAGCCCAGGAACGTGTAATCTTTCGAATTTAAGTGGCCCAACCTCAATCTGACTTAAGTTGTTTTTAAACAGGCTATAGCTTTTTTTCTGGTCCTTTTGCCTGCTTCTGTCCTCTTGCTTCATTCTTTCCAATGAGCATTGGGGATGGACCCTTTTGTGTGGATTCAGAAGTAGAGGAGAAGTAGCTGTTAAAAATGATTGCCAGGCAGATTCCTAGGTAGGGCTGATCTGCCAATGAGGCGGACCTTCCTACCAAAAATAGAAAAAAAATGTCTTTCCCTACCGCTCCACTTACACATTTTATTAATCCACTTCGTCACAAGCCTGGGATTTGAACAATTAGTTATTCATTTGGGTAACTAAGAATCCTTCTTTTAAAACATGGACATACCTCCTGGGAGAGATGGGGATGGGGAGGTCACAAGTCATTCAGATGTTAGTGTGAATGAGTTTAATCAAATTATTTTCTTCCTGACAAATAACAGTTGAAAATATTCTGTGTTGAGAAAACAGGAGTCTTGATGGGAGGAAGAGGGGGGAGGAAGTTTGATAGCTTGGAGCCAGCTAGCTTAGAGAACTGGCTGCCCAGGAAGCTAGGATAAAAAGAGCCTAGGATGGAGGAGAGGGGTGCAAGAAGGAAGATGGGAAGTTGCCAAGTATACATTTTTGCATTCTTATTTTAAAACTTTCACTGGAGTCTAGACCTTAGCCTAAGATAATGGAGGAAAACCACTCTCATTTCTTTTCCTCCTCTTGTACTATATGGAGCCTTTCTTTTAAGAACTAGAACTCAGGACGTTATAACATAGTACAGCTCTGTGTTGCTTCTTAATAATGTGGGTATGAGAAAATTCATTCTAACCTCTGAAAGACTGGCTTAGATTTGAACTTTCTAAACATAGCCCATCCATAAGTTAGAGACTGCCTGTATTTATTTTATGAGGCTATCACATAAAAACTGTTGATATTTTGCTAAATCTCATTTTGGAAGGAAAAAAAAAAAAGCAAACCACCCTAAAAGATAAACTATGAAAAATGCATGAGAGTTTATAGATCTTAAGTGCAAAGTGGAAAAAAAAATAAGTAAATTCCTTGAAGGCAAGAATTATATTGTCTAAAATTCTTTAAAGAGCCATTAAGGGTTTATCCTAATACTAAGTACCCAAGAGGGCTTCAGAAATACCAATAGTGATAGTGATGAAAGAATGTTTGGTGATAGAGTAGCCCCAAGCCCTTTTACTGTATAAAGTAGGCTTTCCACATACAAGTGATTTGAATTATCAACTCATGTCCTAGGAACCATCTTTCAGGGCCCAGCGACTTTGTTTTTTTTTTCTTTTTAAAAAGATATTTATTTATTTTAATTCATTGGTATATTTTGTTTCTACAAAACTGAAATTTATTAAGTAACAGTCAAACAAACACCCTTAAGAATAAGGATCCCAAATAAATGGTTTTTTTTCTCACTTCTGAAATTAACAAAAAGAACTATGTCCTTCAAATTTGGGATTGTGGTACTAACACTGACCACCGTATGTGTATTTCATTTCTTTCTTGTATTGACTTTATTTATATAGTTTTAGTCAGTGTTTATCTTTTTATATTGGCTTTACCGTATATGTTCTGTGTCAGTTCACATCTTTCCACATTTTTTTGAATTCTTCAAATTCCTTTTTCATTCCTTATAGAAAGGAGAAGTGAACATGCATTCATCAAGTACCTACTATGTGCCAGGCACTTTGTGAATATTATTTAATTTAGTCATCACAATAACCTTAGAATAAAGATGTTATTACTATGCTATTTTACAGTTTAGGAAACTGAGGCAGCCAGAGGTTAAGTAATTTGTCCAGAGTCATATAGTTATGAAATATCCTCGGTTGGGATTTGAACTCAGGTCTTCCTGAATCCAGTCCAAGTGTAGTAGCTATATT